AGGAGCAAGAAGAAGCTGAATTTTTGCCCTCAGCTGAAAGACATTTAAAATCTCTGTCAGTGGGGATATTGATTGTTTAATTACTCAGGCTCTGCTGACCAGTGCTTTTGAGAGTGTTCTTGACCTTTGTTTACATGATAACTGCATGGCCGATGCCACTGTATTGGGCACAGCAAGTGGACAAGAACTCTGGGTTTGAACGCAGAAAAAAATACTTTGCAAAACCCCCAAGCAAAATTACCCAGCTCCTTGCTGCAGTTGTAATGAAGAACTAGAAAGGGAGGGTTGAGCCTTGTGATCTTCAAAGCTGGAGAGAGGCTTTAGCTACCTGGTCATCGTACACTAAACCGGTTGCCTTTCCAGCCCGGTGTCATCTCCTAGGCATGAGCCAGAGAGTAAAGGGAGACAGCATCACAGACTCAGGCACGCCTTTGCTCTGTTTGTGCAGGGACTGCAGAGAAACCATGCATGGTGGACTAAAGCTGTACAATGCCCGCAAAGCCTGGACATATTGGAGGGTTCTTTTGGTTGTGAAGATGCGTCAAGTATGCGGATGTGTTGGCAGCCCAAGGTGGAACTGGCGGGGCTGGGGATTTAGCTCAGCGGCAAAAGCGCCTGCTCTGGCAAGCGCAAGGTCGTGAGTTCGGTTCCTGGTACCGGAGAAAAACCAAAAAAACAAAAACAAAAACAAAACAAACAAACAAAAAAAGGTGGAACTGGCTTCCCGACAGCACCAGCCAGCCAAATATCAAGCAGCTTCATGACAGGCTTTATAGAGCCCCTGGAGAGCCTGGAACAGGACAGCAGTCACCAAAAATTCCTTCTGAGAGGCTGCAGCATCCAGGCAGGACTGGGCCCGTGGCCGGTCACTCACATGAGCCAAGGGCTCCAACTCGGTATCATCCTCGGTATCATCCACGATAGAACTGTCACTACCACCGCTGCCCGGAAGCACAAAACTCCTGCCCTCCCACGCCAGCCACCTGCAGCCTCTCTCTGACACAGACCCTCCTTCCTCTGCCTGTGGGGGAGACCCTTCCAGACTTATGTGCTGCCTCCTAGAACAAGTCCACTTCCGGCTGCCAGGGAGCGTGCTGCGTCCCAGAGAAGGGGTCCCAGAGCGGTTGGAGGGTCCCCTGCTCCACACAGACCTCCTCTGCCCCCTGGTGATTTCTTTTGTCTCTGTATTTTCTTGCCCATTATGATTTCCCCACTCTGTGAATAGTATATTCCCTGGATTCCACATAGAAAAGCTTCATAAGGTGTTCTGACCAACACGGTTTTTAAAAGCTTGGTGTAAAAAATTGCATCTGGCCGTGCGTAAAGCAGAGCTAAGAGAAAATCTCTTTCTTGTTTTCCATAGTTTACCCGTGTCGATCAGATTAAAATGTGTAATCTTAAAAAAAGAGTTGGAAGGTTTCCCTGACACCAGAAGTTGTGTCCTTCTACAAGCCTAGGCTATGGCTATTTTCAGTTCACCCCATGCTTGCTGAGGGCTCCTCGGCTTCACCCCCATTCTGTGCAGGCTCCTCCTCCTACTGGGGTTCCAGTTTATCTGGAGACAGAGTCTAACTTGGATCTGGAGAGAAAGAAATGTTAGCTGTCCTGTCCTGCCCTGCCCAAGAGAGACCAGCCAGTGTCAGTCATTGCTGTGGGGAAACCCACCCAGGGAGACCTGAGCCCTTCTTGTTAAGATGCCGGACCTTCCGGCCAACCTGGGCTGCAGGATTAACTCTGCCCTCTCTGGGCTGTCCTCGCCCTCTGTCAGGGAGCCCACGGCAGCTCCAAGGCCATAGCAGGCCACTAAGCCCAGGCAGCTGTAGACGCCACAGCCAGAGCAGAGTGGCAGTGGACCAAATGGGCGATGTCTCCCGTCTTTGTGCCTTCTGTACAGTTGGGGACAAGAAGGGAGAGGTGAGCTCGCCCCAGGAAGTGCTTCTTCCCTGCTCTCTGCCCGCCCCAGCCACCCTGGGTTCAGGAACTGCGCTTGGCAGGGGAAAGAACAGCAGAGGTGTGTCTGGAAGTCCGCAGAGATTCATGCTCCCCAGAGCCCATGGACACCAACCAACCGTTAGTTGCTCTCCAGCTCAGCTGCTCTGGGCAGTGAGAGAGTAAGTCACTGCAGCGCCGCCCTGTGCCCGCTTCTGACCTGCCTACCAGGGCCACGGTCAGGACGCCCTGGTGGCTCTGCAGTGGAGCCTCGGCCATCTGAGGGCAGAGCCTCCTCTTTATTTGGGGGGCTGGAGAGGAGGTGTTTGAGGGTTTGCTTTTGCCCAGATAGCCAGTAGTGCTATCCTTGGACTCCTTTTGAGGTGAAATTCTCACTGTCCTGTATTCGAGACTAGGGTTCCTCTGTGGCTCCTGAGGTGAATCTTTGCTAGAAACTTGTACCCAAAAAAGGACAAAGGCCAGCCCAGCTGGAGATGTGGCTTTCACCTCAGGAAGAAGCCAAGGAGTCTGCAGGCGGCGTGGGCTCACGAAGACAGCATAAAAAGGACGTACTTATTACAAAGAGCCCACTTCCCCATCCCACTTCCCCTGCTGCACAAGGAAAGGCCCATCAGGTGCTCCTCTGTGCCTCCCGCAGTGTGGCTCGTGACCCAAGTGGGAGGGAGGGAGACGCTTGCGCGCCCCTCCCCCATGGGGCTCGGGGGCTGTCTCAGCGTAAGCTCCTGACACAGTGTCCTCACACCTAAAACATGACAGTGTCTGCTCTGGCCTTGGTCATTTGCCACTGCAGAGACAAGAGCCTGTTCCCTGTCCCCAACACAGATGTCTGCAAGAACCACCGTTCAGAATTCAGTCCCGGAAGTGTTTGGAGGCCCAATTCTGCGGTGCACCCTCTGCTCTCTTATGAAAGAGCTCATCTTTTGGGAGTGGAAAAGCATCCAACTAGGGGCCTCGCCTGGCCACCTGGGCCCTCCTTTGGTCTTCAGGGCCACTCAGAGAGAAGCAGTCACATACACATGGCCTCTAGGTATGGCTTGTGACAACATCAGTGTTCAATCCACCAACACATGGGGACACTCCCAACGTCAGAGCTTGAAAAGTCATCCTAGTGCCTGTGAGACCCTGTGATCAGGGAGGGCATCAAGTTGACTTGGGTCCTGGCTGGGCCCTAGGGGCTCTGATTCCTGGGCTTTGTTGGAACCAAAGGTTCTGCCTCAGCCAGGAACAAAGATTAGATGCAGACAAGCACAACACGTGGGGCAGGGTGGGCCTGGGGAGCTAGCAAGGGCCCAGGCAAGGAGCAGCTCCAAAGGAGACTAACACCCAGGGGGTGCCGGGTCCCAGCAGTGAGGGCAGGACCTTGGCTTCTTCCAAAAGGAAAGGTTCTATACACTCTGGGGACCATCGTGTTCCAGCACGCATCTGGTCACCCCACCTCAAAGATGTTCTCCTCTTTCTCTAATCTCTTTGGGCCAGGCAGGCAGACTCATGTGGCTACCATGGTCCCTTCACTTTATGAAATTAGTGCAGGCTGGTTGGAAAAGACTATAGGGGAAACAAGGAGGTATGGGGGCGGCGGGGGGGGGGGGTGGTTACTGCCATGTCCGTAGACCACCCACCCAGCGCCCATCCGGAAATCCTCATAGCTCAGGGGGAGAACTTGCAGCTGGCCCTGAGGTTCCTGGAGCCACGAGCTTAGGTAAGCACGAGGACAAAAGGGGGGCGGCTTCACCTGCATTCCCCAGTAGCTCAAGCTCAGACTGCCCTACATCCATGGATTCGTGCATGCATCCCTCAGCTTCCAGGCCCCACAGTTCCCAGCCCACTGCTGATGTGGATCTCATAAACACCTAAGTATGTGCAATGCCAGTGCTAACTCTGGGCCAGGACAGTGCCGGGGGCGGGAGGGGGGGGGTCTTCCTTATTCACTGCCCAGAGGGAGCAGGCCCTCCAGTTGGGAAAGCAGATGAATGACAAGGGGAGGGGCTCCCCTCTTGCCTTGCCTGCACCCCCAGAGGCTGCACAGGCCAAGTCTTAAACCACGGCTGATCTGAGTCTCTGCCTGAGCCCTGTGAACGTCTTAGAGGTGGCCTGGCCATGGCCCACTCCCATTCACCCTTTTCTCCTGGGAGCTGTCGTGAGCCGACTTCTCATCGCCTCTGTGCTCTGGCCACAAGGAAGCCCTCCTTTCCCGATGCTCATGACAGGGAAATTACGGCATCAGAAAGCGCCTGATGGACTTTAGTCCTGTCCACCCAAACTCTTGGTGCCCGAGGTCAGACGCCACGGGCTCCCTCTGGATTGGTCTGTGAGTGTCCTTTCTGAAGATCACAGCAGGGAGCCACCTAAGCCCCAGACTGCCCTGCCTGCTCATCCTGTCACCCCGTCCAGCCCCGGCTGGTACCTGTCCACTCCTGAAGTGTCACAGTCCCTGGCCCTCAGCGCCCCTCTCCTCGATCCTGACCCTCCCCACCGCATTCCCAACACAGAAGCCCCCTTGCAAGGTCACTTCTAGGGGACAAATCACAGGTGTTCTCAGACACCCCCAAAGGTCCAAAAAGGTCAAAATTAACACCCGGAGGGAGCAGGGTCTTTGCTGCCTTCTTCCATCTGGGGCCCGCATCCCACATCCCCGGGAGAGAGGCCTCGGTGTCCTGCCACGCGTCCCTGTCCATCGCCCTGTGTCCTCCAAGCGCCCACCCGGGCCTTGTATGTGGGCCGGAAGCCCCGAAGACCAGCGGCTCCAGGCTCCCTCCGCGCGTTCCCTAGGCCCTTAGAAAGTTCTCCCGCATCCCACCGCTTCCTCCCGAACCCACTGCTCTGACTCTTCTGGGGATGGGCGGTTGGGGGACGATTTTCCCGCTCCCAACCCGCCCGCTGCACAGGGAGCCGTTAGGGGCGGCCGTTGCCGTGGCCGTGGCCGTTGCTATAGTCTCGGCCCCACCCAGGCCCCACCCACCTGCCCCTCCCCCACCCGCCCCGAGGCCCCGCCCCCAAGGAGCCCGGCTTGGTCGAGGCTTCGGTCATTCTGATCATTCCCCTCTGCTCTTGCGGACGTGAGCGTCTTTGGACAGCCGCCCTGGGGACTAGGACAGGTTTAGCACTGTCCACAAAAGTCTCTCATGTCAAGTATGCTGTCTTGTGGTCAGGCTGAGCGGCCTCTCAGGCCTGGCTTTGCAGAACGGGAGTCTTTGCCTACTTTGAAAGGGTCTCGGTGACCTGCCTAGAGGGAATGAGATTGTCCCTGGGGTCAAAAACCTCTTGGGGAGACAGGGGCTTAGACGTCAGCTTCCGCAGTCGTTGGGTCGGAAGGACTGGACAGCCCCTGACCTAGGGCTTTGAGGGGGTAGGACAGAGATGGAGACAGGATAGACCCAAGACCTAGTCTTTTTAATGTCCTTTTTCTTTTTAGAAAAGGTTCTTTGTTTTTTATAAGTCCAGGTTTGAAGTACATACTGAATACACTCATTCTGGGGAGTTACTGCACACACATGTGGAATCTTGTTCCTTAAGATGTATTATTTTCTTGTCAGTTAGCTTGAAAGGCCCACCAAGAGCCCTCCAGCACTTTTGCTTTCGGGGGCCACTTTAAAGAGGAAATCTAAAGCCTGAAGACCCCCAAGTCCCTGTTTCTACGAGTTCCTGCCCCAAGTGCAATAGGAAATGTTCTGTGCTTGTCTGTCGACTGCAGGATGTCCCTGTGAACCTCTGGCCTGTACCTAAAACTTCCCTAACCACAAAACCTGATACCTTCCGTGCCCACTGTACCCAGACCCCTCGGCTTCCAGCCCTCAGAGGATGACAGCACCTGCTACACTTCGCCTCTGTAAAGAGCTTCTGCAGAATCCCTCTCAGCACCTCCTTTGCCCTCCCAGATTAAAACAGAGCTATAAAACCCCTTTCCCCAGTGCTTGGGGCCCAGAATTTGGAGAACTTATCTCCTCTGGGCCAGAGCTGGTTTAATAAAGAGCTTGGTTTGCTCCACCTCTTTGAGCACCAGACACTTGCAATTCATGATTCCCACAACAATTTGTGTCCTGAATCCTCTTGATCTCCCTAGGCACCTTGAATTCAGACGACGGGCTCTGCTTCGCCACCGGCGGCCTCCCCAGCAAGGGCTGGCTGGGCTTTGGAGCAGAAGTGGAGGGACTTCCCTGTACAGTGCGGCCATGTTGTGATGGTCTGAACGGGGGGCTCTTCTCCGCCTGTGCGCTCCTGTTACGGTGCTCAGCAGCTAGGACTGCCCTCCGGGAAAGGGGAGGTCTCAGACCAGACTGGGTGCTGAAGGAAGGGCTGGGCCTGAAAGGGGCTTTTGGCCGGCTGGTGATGGACTTGCAAGCCACACCACAGGGGGAGCAGGGGGAAGCGGGGTGGGTTGATGGAAATTCACATTCTCCCTGCTGCTGTTCTCAGAAGAGCGGATTTCCTATCCTTGGAAACCGCAGTGGCCTCTTTGGGGAGGGAGGACTAACTAAGCATCAGTACTGGGTAACTAGGGAGTAGGGGTGGCAAGGCTCTGGGGAGGCCCTTAGTGAGAATACAGGAAGCATGCGCAGCTGTGGAGCTTCCGCGAAGGCTCCTCAGCGGGGATAAGCTTGGGTTTTTTTTGGCTGTTGCCCCCTTGGCAGTAAAAACAGTGGTGTTCAGAGAAGAAAGTCAGGGGCTCTAAACACAAGCCCAGAATGGGGTAGGGAGTAGCGGGGAGCTTGCAGGAGCCTATATTTGGTATTTCTGGATGATTTTAGTCAGCTCCGTTGTTTCTTTGCAGTTAAAACCCTTAAGACAACAGGGAAGTGGGAATAGGAAGACCTCACAGTCCTAGCTGTTGAGGGGAGTCCAGATCCCTCCAAAATAAAGTGGCAGAAGCCTAGGGCTTGCAATACAAGCAAGCAGGTGTGGGGGTTGGAGGAAGAAGGCTGAGGTGGGTGTCCAGTGGGGGCGGCAAGGCCCTGTGGGAGTGGGACAGGGCAGGCCAGGCTCCTGGGGCAGGAGGCAGGGCTTGCCAGAAGGTTGGGAGGGAAAGACAGGAACTTGGTATTTTCACCTCTCTGCGATATGTCCATGAGCTTTTGGACAGCCTGACCTCCCCAGCTGGACTGCATGAGCTTAATGAGTGGGGCCCTGCCTTATTTTTTATTCCAGATAGCATTTAGCTGAGGGCCTGGCACACATGTCGAATTTTATTTAAAGTATTTAATTTACCGGAAGTGGTATATTTACAAGTTCATTCTTACAGATCTCAGTTTACTCTTTTTTCCCAATCATTTTAGAGGGATTCTCCCAGATCCTCTGCTGGCTAAGAGAACTGATTTCACAGGACTCAAACTTCCCTTCCTGAATTGTCAGAAAATGGGACTTGCTGCCTTAGTGGGCCACTGAATTTTAGAGTTACCCTTGCCTCCTAGGAAATGTGTTTGCACGTCGGGAGTGGGTGACGTGCTGTACAAACGAAAGGCAGTATTACCGTTTGGCACACAATGTCTTAGATTGTAATAGCTTATCCTCAGCCGGAACCTGGCAGGGTAACATTCAAATAAGCAGAGTCAGTGTTGCCAGCAGTTCACAGCTGGATGTGGGAGATAGATGGGGAGATCGGACCAACTCCTGAAGTGGGATTACAGACACAATCCTAGGGCCAGGCTCTCCCAAGGCGGTTCCCATCCTGAGACACAGCCCGCATCTCTGTCCAGCCCCCCACTGGAGATGTGTCGGACCTGCTATCTTCTAAGAATGGGGCACTCTGACTGAGGTTGCTCAGTCTCCCCCCAACTTCCTGTTAATGATTCAGATTGCTCTGCCAGAGATAGCCTTGCCTCAGGGCAGCCATTAAGAGCACCACCTCCTGGTTGAAGAAGCTCAATTTAAAGTGCTTTTGGGGTTTAAAAACAGAGGGACCTGCACTCTTGAGGATTGGTAAATTGTAAAAGTCCCTCCCCAACTCCTCCCTCTTCCTTTCTACCAGTCCAACCTCTGACACAGGAGCTGTTCCAAGAATAAACAGCAGAAAAAAAAGAAAATGAAAAGCATATATTGCTTCCCACTGTCCCCCAATGTTAAACGCACACATACACACAGTTCAGCACTTGTGTGTTTCCTAAGGGAGACGGAGTCATAAGGGGGGGGTGTCACATGATGGTGTATGATTTTAGGGGCCCTCGTTCAAATGGGAATATGAATTTATTTGAATAAACATATAGCACGGCCCTGAAAAGAAAGTTCTGGCATTTGGCTGGCCAGCCACGTCACACCCGCTAGTTCGGACGGGGGAGTCTTCTCCAGCCCTGTGACTCACCAGGGAAGTTGTTCCTCTGAATTTTGGAAGTTATTTTTTTATAACCTAAACCCAGACAGTGGCAAGTTCAGACTGTACGCCAATCTCCGCAGTTGGGAGTGCTCCCGGAGGGGCCAGAAAACTCCATTCCTAGGCGTCCTGGGTCTCCTTGACCCACCTCTCTGAGACAGCTACCTGACAGGGTGAAGGGCAGGCCCTGTCTAGTTAACCCTCTTAATTTACAGATAAGGAAACTGAGGCCCGGAGAAGGCTATCTTTCTACCAGCCATGCATCTGCCACCCTTTTCTCTGCCTGGGCCGCAGGGTCTTTTAGCTTGAATGACAGCAGCTCTGCCTCCTTCCTCACTCCAAGTCTCTCCCTTCCCTTTTTCAGGTTGTTTTACGAGTGGGGGCCAAGCTCTCTCCCACCCACCAGCCCTCCACCCTGCTGGGAATCCTGTGACTCCTGTCCCCACCCAGCTGCTTCAGTTCATCAGCATCTGCTGATTGCTTCTTCATCATCTCCTCGCTGCCAGGCAGGTGGCAGCCAACGTCCCACCGAAAAGTAGATGCGGGAGAGCGACCCCTGACAATTTACACGAAGAGTAGGACTGGGGGACCAAATCCTCTTCTAGATGAATAATGACAGGAGAGACGACTTTGCCAGCGTTTTGCTTGCCCCCTAACCAGGATCCGAAAATTCAGTCAAAAATGTTAAGGCTCTCAGGAGCATCGTTCGAATCTTCCCTCCTGCACTGACCTCATTTGAAAGGCCAGCATTTCATGGAGAACAGAACCGCCGTGCGTGTCGCTTGACAACATTCTCTCATTGGTCAGGGGCTCCTGCCACCTTCGGATAAAGACCTGGTGCTTTGTGAATGTGCAGTGGCACCGTCCAGGTGTAACCTGGCGGCACAGAGGGACTCTGTGATCTGCTTCAGCCCTTTCACTTTACAAAGGGGGAAACTGACACTGGGTCTGAGGAAGGTCTCTCTGCCGGGGCAGCTGAGTGGTCACAGAGCTGGGACTAGACTGTAAGCCTGGTGCCTCCCTTCAGGACCCCTACTTCCTGCCTTTTCCTGAAGGTAGAACTATAGGACTTTGACTCTGGAGGATCTGCTGCTGCCCCCTGGAGTTGCCCCAGGCCCCAGGAGTTGAGGACCTTATTCCAGATCCTGGCCCCCAAGTTCACAGGCACACGTGGAGTCAGAGCATGACTTCCCTCCAGGCACTCGAGGGCGAGCCGGGCGGCCCCACTCTCTGGTGTCGTTCCAATTGCTGGCTCTGATGCTTCCTGCGCCAACAGGTGGCCACGGAGCTGACCCCCAGCGGCCGCATCAGTCGCCAACAATGTGAGCTGTCGACAGAGAAAGATAAAGACCAGGAAACCGTTTCTCACGTAGTTGGCCCAGAGCAGAGAGTAAATTGCCAGAAACGGCCTGGAAGAGGCTGTAAAAGGAAAGTAAAACGGGATGGTAATTTATGACGTGCAGCAGTAAAGGGATCTGGGGAAGCGGAGTGGCCAGCGAGGTTCATTTCCTCCTGCTCGGTGGAGGCGTAACCACACGGAGCCTGACTCCCCGGATTCTGGAGAAGCTCTTGCCCCCCACATTGAAATGGCAATGTCAAGGTGGGCTGTCTTCTGGACCCCAGGCAGCGCTCAATGCCCAGTCTTCCTTTCTGGAACCCTTGTCTGGGGCCCTGGGCCCCCAATGCTGAGAATAAAACCCTTGTCCATTCCACAGCACCTTGCAGGTACAATATACCCTTTCCCACCTGCGTGCTCATTTAATCCTTAGGGAAACTGAAAAGGGCTCTCTCTTCCCAGAGGGTCCTGGCTCAAGGTCATACAGCTGGTCAGTGGCAAATCCATGACCTAGACCCAGGGACCAGGAGTTTAAAGACCAAAGTCTTTCTCAACCCCAGCGCCATGCCTGGCAGAACCAAAAGGGGTAGGCCAGAGGACATCCCTTTCTCTAATCCAGAGACCATGAGGTGGAGGAGCAATTCCAGGAGGAGGCCAGCAGAGCCCTTGCTTTGAGATTCATGCACTATATTTAGGCCTCCCTGCTTCTCCCCGACCCCACTGATGTGGGTCACTTAGAGCGGCTGGAAGGAAGTCATGCTGTGACCCCACGAATGTTGTGGAGCAGAGCCTCCAGTTATGGAATATCCTTTCACTTGGGTGATTTCTCCCACAACAACCAGCCAGGGACCCTGAGGGCCTCGACCAGCCAGTCCCCACTTACCACTTATGCTTTTTCTGTGACAAACAGAAGACAGCGGACCTACTCTTCCATGCTTTCTGCAAGCAAATATAACTCAGGAACCTCGGATGCAACTCCACCTCAGGCCAAGGTGGAGGGTCCGAGGCCTGCTGACCCTGAATGACCTCAGGACTACCTAAGGCTCCCAAGCAGATGTCCTCTGCTTTAATCTGCCCCGCTTGGACCCTAGGAGGATGGAAGCCCCCAGCTCAGAGGTCTGCTTCTTATCATCTACCCAACGCCCACACTTGCCCTAGCGCGGCTTATTCTGGAGAACCAAGGCCCCACGGTCCTCAACAAGGGGCCTGGAAGCTGTTGTCTCTCAACAAGCTGCTCAGCCCAGCAGTTGGCAAATTGGCATCAGGCACCCCATGACTCCTGAAGGCTCTCGCCCCTGTTGCCAGGCTTGGTAGCCACTGTCCCAGATCTCCCCTCGTTGTTAAATCCACACCTGCCCTGAGACCCCAGGCTCCCGTCTGGCTGTGCCCCTTGGTATAACCCAGAGAACCCCTAAAATCAGTTGGTTCTCAACGGCACAAATCTTATCAGCCCAGAACACAGATTTTTCAGGGTGATTTTGTCAGGGTGTGGATGCCGCCACCAGGGTCTTGGGCAACAGCCGTCCCTGGCTCCACCCACCCTTCCTTCTCCCTGGGCCTCCAGCCCTACCCAATCAATTTCCAAGAATCACTTCTCCTCCCAATTCTTGCTCTTGGACACTCTTGCAGCCAAAAAGCTGCTGCTCCTAAATGAGTTGACATAAGTTAGCAAGTTCTGACTTACCCAAGAACTTGGGGGGAACTTCCCAGAGGAATAAAGATCAGCAGTGTGGTGGCCTGTTTGGAAAAGCTCTTGCCGCCACGTTAAGCAGCGCCGTAGGTGCTCACAGCTCTCTTCTCCCGCCCTGCAGCCCTGCTGTCCACACCTCTGCAGAGCTGCTGTGTCTCAGAGAAATTCCAGACCACCTTGTTGGCTTGGCCATACTTTTTCAAACTCTCCCAAAGGCAGTCAGATTTCTTCAGGCTAGAATACAGAAAAATGCTGCCCCAAGCCCCTGCCAACCTGGCTCTTTGGGATCCTGCCAGGTTGTGTGGTATTCTCTCTGTCCCCAAAGTTCTCCAAAAGAGACCTAAACAGATGTTCCTCAGCGGACTGTGACCCCCAGAAAGGACACCTTCATGGACCTGCCGCGGCTTATTCAAGCCAGAGTCGGTTCTCGCTGTGCCCTTCCACGTGGAGAGTCAGACCTCGGAGACTTCCGAGCTCCACCCTGTCCAGGGCTTCCAGTTCCTGCTTCTCCTGGTCGGCTTTGGTGCGTTTTAGCTGAGGCAGTTGGTCCCCAGGTGTTTGCTGGGTGCTTTGGTGAGGGCGGCTTGGCTGCCATCCTCACAGGACCCACGCAGCCCGAGGAGGGGTGGCCGGGCATCCCGGCCACTGACTGACCTGGGAGGTGCAGATATGCAGCCCAGAATGAAGGCCACATCCCGCCTAGGCTAGAGCTGCCTAGCGGGTCTTCATTAGCAGGACCCCATTCACAACCCTTCCTCCCGTGCTGACAGTGTGTGCCGTGTCGGCCAGGCGCTCCCGGGAGCCGCTGTCCCCAGCGGGGCAGCCGGACTCCGTTCCTCCCCAAACCTCTGCCTCCCGCTGTTGGCGTTCAGGCTGACGTTTCTATCCACCTATCGATCTCTCTAGCCGAGCAGCCTTTCTGCTGACATGCTGTGTGCCGCCTGGGGCCAGCAGGCCACGCTCCGCTGGGAGTGGGGACAGTGGCCTCTGTGCAGCCCTGGGGGAGGTGCCTGGAATCGGGATAGAGATCCGATGGGAAGCTGAAAGAGAATTACTTGAAAGGACCGCATGGAGTCCTTCAGGCCCTTCCACCATCTGGCTGTGGCCCCCATGGCTGCCCTTGGTGGACCCAGGGCACCATGTGGCCCTGAGACATTCATTGATTCCAGAGTGCTTTTACTCAGTTTCAAAACCTTGTAGACCATGAGCCCACCTGGGAAGAGCAACCTTTCCCCTTGTTCTTCGTCTGTGGTTAAGAGGCACAAAATACCTTGGGAAGGGGCTTTGGAACCGTCTAATTGCAAAGGCAAAGAGCAGCCAAGGGCAGGCTGGGGCAGGCAGCCCGAAAGGCAGCAGCTTCTTCACCCTGGACTTGGCCTTTGCCCGGTGGCCTCTAGCTCCAGACCTCGCCTGCCCTTTCCGCTCCAGGGGCCTCCCCTGGCCTTGCATGGTCTCGCTGAGATTTGACTGTGCCTCCTGGGACGGAGCCCTCTCTTGGGGGCACTGCCCGCAGCCTCTGTACTTGAACTTTCACCTGTTGGTAGCTGTCCCCTAAAACTGCTCAAAAACCCAATGGCTCTGCACCTGGACAGCAAGGGACGGGAAGCCAGGTGTTCACAAGAGGCCCTGTGTTCTACTACGTGTCCCACCGGCCCAACGCTAGCGCCCAGGCCCTGGAAGCCTGCTCCTCACCCCTCCTGCCCAGGCCAGGCCCCCCAGCCCTCACCCCACCTGCCCCATCACCTGCAGGGGAGGATCCGCAGGATGCGAGTGATGGCACCACTGGGATGGTGGCCCTCGGGCTCCTGCAGGGCAGAGTGGAGCCATCTGGAATGACAGAATGGGAAGCAGTTTCTGTGGTGGTCAGAGGGAAGGGGGTGCCGTACCCTGGCCGCTCACATGTGGTCTATCGTGGACAACCTTGGCATAGAGCGGCCCAGCCTCTCCGGACGAGGGCGGAGGGAGCTTGAGTGAGAGTAGCGGGGAATATGGGGGCGGCCGGCTGTGATCGCACGAGGCGGATGACCAGCCGAGGGAATGCGGTTTGGCCAAGGAGGCCAGACAAGTCTTCACGAGCAACTGCCAGGTCCCTGTGGCAGAGCCAGTCCTGGGCAGGGGAAGGGAGCAGCCAGGTGACCATTTTGATCTCCTGACAACTGTGCTCCCTGCCGTCCCTTCCTCCTCAGCAGTGCCCCAGGATTGCCATGGACCCCGCTCAGGGCAGTGGCTTAGATGTGAGGGTCCAAGTGTCCTCGGGGTGTTGGGGCTGCAGGCGCCAGCCTGTGTGATGGAACCCAATTGACCAGCACCCACAACCCACAGGAGGGAGAAGACAGCGGGGCTTCCTGTCCCCAGCACCAGGCCTAAACATGGCACTGAGATACCACAGTCACCTCCCCAGTCTGGAAGCAGTGGAGCTGCACCTCTGAAAGTGACCACGTCCTTTCCTCTGCCTCTGTGCTGAGCACTGCAGTCCCCGCATTGTCCCTGGTTGTCCCCCGCTGCCTCGGCAGCACCCACAGCACCCAGGAAGCACCCAGCTGGGACCCATTGGGCGCGGTCCCTCTGCAGAATGACCCAAAGGGCGAGAGGGCAGGGGGCTCTATGACCACTGTAAAGGGCACCTTAACCCTGGTGGTGTGGCTTCCTCCCCCTGCCTCCCCGCCCCCAGCAGGATGAGACTGGGGTGTGCCCGACGAGGCCACAGCTTTCTCCTGAGTTGTCGTGGCGGCAGGACCTGGGCGGAGGCGGGGCAGAAGGGCCATCTCCCTGGTCACAGAAGCAGACGTGCTTGGGTCTGCTTTCCAGCGTCCTTGTATTTCCCGATCTCGAACTCAGGCAATCTTTCCTCTTGTCAAGGGAGCCCTGGGTGGGTTGCTCCACGCTAAGATGGGTGTGAGTTGTCGTGAGCCTCAGATGCGGGGCTCCTGGCCCAGCAGCAGAAGTGTCCGGACGCAGAGCGACCCAGCACAGTGAGGGGAGCCCCCTATTCCTCCTATTCCTCCGGCTCCCACAGTCGCCACCTTCTCGCTCCCTGCCCCGCCCCCGCCGAGGGGAGTGAGGCGTCGGTCGCCTTTTCCTCCTCCGACTGGGGCCCCCCAGGAGCTTTGGCAGCTTCTTACAGAAGAGCTCCAGCTCACAGTGATGAGCCCCCCACGGGTCCTCAAATTACTCGGCCCTCGAAGCTGGCCCAGGTCTGGTCTCAGGGGCCTCTTCCTCCTCCTGCCTCGCTGGGTTTCCGCCTTTCTTCTGGGAATCTTCAAGTAGGAAATGGAAATGGAAATTGCAGGGGGCGACCTGAAGCGCTAGGTCGAAGGTGGGGTGGGCATGAGGGCAGCCGGTGCCCCTTGGCAGCGCCGTGCAGGCCTCGCCCGTCCTCCTGTGCATGCCGCCCTAAGTCTCCAGC